AACTAGATGACAAGTGTGTGAAGTGCTAGCTAGATGACCAGAAGGCACTTTTGCTTTCCTGTGGAACCCAAGTAACTATCATTAAAGGAAGCCAAGTTCTAGATATAATTTCATAGATTTCCTCACCCTAGGCACAATGCAAAGTGAATTTAATTTGAACATGCCCTGTCAATAAATACTATTTATTTTTAATATTATCAGCAATACCTATATCATATATGTAAATGCTTATATTGTGGAACACTTGGATTGAGATGGGTATGGGAATGTCAAGTAAATTCAGTTGAGCATCATTTACGTTGCTAATACTTCCAGCTTTTAACAAATTTCGTTATTGCATCAATTCATACTTTAAGTAATCAAATCACTATGAACTAAAACGTAATCGGAATGCGGTCATACTTGTTATGCTAGTGTACTAAAATTGAGGATATGGATAAACCCTAAACCAAGGACAAATGAACCTTCTGCATGCACATAAATCTTAAGCCAGAGCATTAATACCATCACCATGGTGTGAATGTTGTGATTATAGAGAATGTCACATGCATATTTCCCTCTTACTTATTTACCATATTGATTTTTTAAGCCACTGTACCTTGATAAATGGTATTAACACATTCTTATGCCTGTTTATTGTAAATAAAAAGTGAAGTTCCACATATCACGTACCGCGCAGGAAGCCTGCAAAGGAACATCATGAAGCATTGGTTGAATAAGTGATTTGTATACGTTATATGTACATTCACCCTAACATTAAATGAAGATCTTTGGAAATGAGAAATTAGTCTGGACAAAAAGGACAAAAGCAGCATCATTCATCTGGAACGTAAGAACAGCCCAAAGACAAGCAAACTGTAGCTAGTCTACAATATTGCAGTGGTTTATACCTTGGATGAAATGCATTGCTTGTCACATACAAAGACTGCACTTTTCACATATGCAAAAAATGGACCATCTCATTGCATAGGACACAGTGATGGAGTAAATTAATAAAATGAAACCAAAGGAAATGTGTGCAGACTTGGAAAAAGCTTCAGAACTTTGGCTGAAATACATAAAAAGCAACACACACTTACACATTTTTGCAGGTGATTCTGGATGCAGTTCAAAACTAGACAGTTATCACTTACTCCTTACGAAATAGTTTTACATACAGCATACTATAATTATGAAGTCAGAAATCTAGATCTAAAATTGCCCCTAAAAAATGCTGTCATATTCAAATTATCTATATAAACAATTCATACAAATAGCTCTTACACCACCATTTCTTAATTCTAAGTGAAGCCCTTCTCCATTGGAATAGATCATTTATAGATTTAAAAAGTTCGGCTTCATATTTAAACTATCATATACTTCATATTTTCTACACAGATTGCAATTGAAATTGAAATACAGGATTAATCATTGTTAACCTATACTCTATAAGAATTTCTAATGCGTCACAAATTTTCATCAAAATAGTCGTAATAACCTTGTTTCCCTTTAACTGGCTACTATTCAACTGGCCGGAATTAAAAATCAAAGTGCAGTAAAATAGGTGCTTCATGGTATTTCAAGGCTTCCAATATTTTTTTTCCGTAGCCAAAATACTTAAACTGCATTCACAAAACACCTTTACAAAGATCATTACTTGACAAAAAAGAAAAAAAAAACAGCTAGGAAGGAAACATCCCACGACACCCTGCCCAAACTATTAATAAAATCCTCAAGAGGTATTATCATATCTCTGCAGTCTGAAGCGGTCGGCCTTGAAACGTGATCTCTGCGTACTGCGTCTTTTGGTGAGGAGTTCTCTGATCTCCACGTCTCATTGAGCCGTTGTTTGATGCTCGTGGAAGCTGAAGCTCTGCATACACAACGCCCGTGCTTGGTCTCCGTACACTGGCCGTTGCTGTCGATTTCATTCTATCGGCATAAGGTGAACTGGTTCGGTCGGGATTTGGCTTGTATACTGGCACATATGGAGAGCTCTTGAAATTTCTCGGTAAGTCTTTAGCTTCACTATGCTGGTCGTTATGCCTCTTGAATGTGTGTAGTTCGCCTTTTTTTGGACTGCTGTTGCTGCTCTCCCCTTGCTCACTGGCCGACTCTTGCTCCTCCTCCTCTTCCCCCCTGCTCTCTCCGGGCTCTCCGAGGGCTGTGTTAAGCTCATCTCTTCTCTCCGGATTGCTGCTGCGGCTGCTGCAACTGCTGCTGCTTCTCGTTTCCTGGCACAAGTTTTGTGTTTCCATTTGTGTTGGCATTATCTGCAATACAGGCCAGATCTTAATCATTTAGGATACCATTTATTGATGTAAAAGGATAGGAAAAGTAAAGAATGTGATTGTTCTAGGGATAATTATGCGATAAATTTGCGTTACAACAAAGACAAACCTGGTCATGCATAATAAAACTGCTATAAGCTAAACTATAAGAACAAGCAACGATAATAAACATCACAGTGACAATAACACCGATATCGGTGAAGGTGATGCTATTGATAATAACTTTTACCATACAGACGATGCCAATGATAGCAATAATGATAATAAAAACATAAATAATGGGAATATTTATAATAGTAATTGGAATAATAAGAATGATGTTGATAATCATGATGTTAACAATAACTACATTATGATCATCACCATTATTATTATTATTATTATTATTATCATTATTATTATTATTATTATTATTATTATTATTATTATTATTATTATTATTATTGTCATCATCATCATCGTCATTAATGATAATGATAATGGTGATGATTATAGTGACAGTGATAGTGAAAGTGATGATCATAATAACAATATTGATGTTGACGATTAATAACATTATTACTATTCTTATAATCAAAAATATTATGACAAATATATAAATATATATATATATATATATGTGTGTGTGTGTGTGTGTGTGTGTGTGTGTGTGTGTGTGTGTGTGTGTGTGTGTGTGTGTGTGTGTGTGTGTGTGTGTGTGTGTGTGTGTGCGTGTGCGTGCGCGTGCGCGTGCGCGTGTGCGTGTGCGTGTGCGTGTGCGTGTGTGTGTGTGTGTGTGTGTGTGTGTGTGTGTGTGTGTGCAGATATAATAATAAATGCATGATAGTAAACATTATCATTATCAGTTACTATTAGTAGTAGTAGCAGTATCATCATCACCACCATCATCATTTCCATTATTGTTTTTATTATCATTGACACAGCTATGTATATATTCATCTTCGCAATACTTTAACAAGGGCATAGATATAATTATAATTATACCTTATGAAATAAAAATAGTGCACCAAATAAAAAAAATAACAAGAAAAAGGTTGTGCCGTGATTTTAATAAACTAAACTCAAACATGTCCACGGTCCCTGCCACTGTCTGCCACTTTTTCAAACATTTAAGAACTTTTCACATTTTACGCGATTCAAATAAACAAATCAGAAAACTATGAGCCAAATGGACTAAAGTTAGCTTTGTTAAGTTATCATGTCCTACTTTTATGAGAACAAAAGTTTCAAATGCTATATAAACAGTGCATATTATGAGCTTACCACTCATATGCAAATTGTGCAAGTAACTAATATAAACATGATTTTCTATTACTAATGTGCATAAGCTTTTAAACGTGTGTTGTTAATTTTGCTACTGGAAACTGTTATTGAAAAGATTCTAAAAATAAAATAATGAGGTAGTGCTTCTGATGCATTTCACAACTTATATGTTAACAAAGGGCTTCCAGAGTGCTAAAATTAACACCTTTATTACAGGAAATTACTCTGAATTATCACTGAAGCTTAGGGTTTTACTTTCTTGACTATGAGAACAAAAAGGATGGGACTTCATAATTGCACAGGTAGCCGATTATAAAAAAAAATAATCTTTAATATCTTCAGCTTTTTTTTTTTTTTTTTAATCAAAACTGTATCAAATCTGACTGCACCAACTGCACAAGAAGGAAAAAGGAAATTTCGATCTACATTACGGTGCTCGTGCCTTCCCACACTATTGTATTTACAGTTGGTCATGTTGGCATTGACCTTGAGGTGCGAGCTGCTGACCGTGCGGCCCGGGCCAGGAGAGACGTCGCCGCGGGATCGTAAGCCACTGCTAGAGACAGCTGCTGAGCTTGGACGGGGTCGGCCGTGTCGGCGATGGCACGCGGGGAAGAGAAGGTACGCACTTGTCCATATTCAAGTAACCATTTGAATCACAACAAACAAATATTTTAACCTCCACTGATATGCTTGGTTCACAATGACCTGAGTCTGCGTATCCTGTCTTCCCCGCCGAGACACACTCCGCACAATGCCACCGATTCCCCTGTGTCCCATTCTCATGGGCATCTCTAATCTCACCTTCAAGTTCTCATACTCATGGTCAGGTTTAGAGGACAGAGTGGACACACTGGTATGCTTGGACGTGGTTGTGTAAAGGGCGTCGGGAGGGATGGAGGCAAGGGATCCTGCAACCATGGTCTTGCCTCCACTCCTACCAGCACCTGATCCCGTTGCACTATACTGATGCCTACCATTATTTCCCTTCTGGCTCTCAATGTCGCTCTTATCACTGTAGGAGGAAAGTTGCATTACACAGAAGTCAGGTAATGAAAAATATCTTACACGAACATATCTTATATACTAATGAATTTATAGAAATATAATACAATTTAGCACATTCTTCTTAGTCAGAAAAATACATACCTTTCCAGGTCTGTGGGCTTGAAATCTCCTCGCTCTGCAGATTAGAAACATAATATATATTAACGTTTGCATATTTTTATGGTATTTGTGCAGTAATACTATTTCATATATCTACATATATTATACGCACATATAAATACTATCAGCACTTACGTTTCATAAAGAAAAGTGATGGCAACAGTGTTATCATTCACAGTACAACAGAAACTTTACAATTTTACACACATTATGCAGACTGTCCTTGTCAACATTGCCAGCTTATTGTGATATAATGTATAGAACTGCGATGTAACTGAGCACAATCTGCTTTAGATCCTTTCATATCACTACAGTTTTCCCCCATGTGTAAAGAAATGACAGTGCGACATTTTCAGTGTGTGCCGAATATTAAAAAATGTTTACAATATGAAATTCGTTATTTCAAAACTGCCAATTTACATCCTACTGCCTAAGTGAAGCTCCCTTCTAAATATAATTCATCAGGAATACCAATGGATGAAAGGTTTTTACATACAAGAATAAAGCATGTGTTACTTATATTCCGGTATATCTCACATGGATATCAAACTTTATTTTTAGAGGCAAATAAATTCTAAAAAGTCGTCCGAAATACAAAAAGTGACAGCAATACTGGTTAACAAATCGTTAAGGTCTTTATAAGTCATAGTAACAAATTATTTTACATTGATGGGCAATTAATTTCAGAATATTTGAAGGTAGTATGTCTCACTAATAAATTGTAAAAAGTTTAATATAAATATTTAAGTGTTGTGCCCCAGACCGCAGGGCATTACACACTAGTTCCATTTTGACTGTATATGGAGTCCCGGTGTTGCTGTTTATCCACACCACTTTTAGCCACACTCTTTCTCTGGTTAGCTGCAAAGAAGAAAACCAGAGAACGTAAACTAGTCACCCTTTCTTTGCTTAGTACAAGGTTTACCTAAGTTACATCTCTAATTACCATACTCCAAAATTGGCTTGTATGATAGTTAAGAAGTACAAGAAGAAGAAAAGAAAAAGAGTCGTAGTATTGATAGGATTTTAAGGTCATCTAACAGATTTGGTGACGAATTTATAGTAATCATTATAAACTGACTTTCGAAACTTACCATCTAAATGCTTATCTCTACCATTTATTCATTTGTAAACATTCAATGTTTGACAGGGAGAGGACGGAGTTTTCTTCCACATGCAAATCCAAGCATTTCATGTGACCCTTGTGAACCCCAGAAGTTAAATATGTAACACCTCCCTGTTCACACACATGGCACCCGTTAAGAGATACTGCAATGTCTTTCTGTGGCTACAAGTGGCGTGGACACATAAGCACATATGAACTCTCACATCGTAAATACGTATCATTTACCCTCTGATCCTTTCTCTTTAAGTAACAAATCTCCTAAAAGTTCTCAATTACAATCATTTATCTTCAGCTATGCAATGCTTGGAGTGAGTTTTTATCTTTATATTTAAATTGGCAACATACTTGAAAATGAGACAGGTCCTTATATATCTATGGAAGTTTTTCTATGGCACACATAATAAAAAAAAAAAAAAAAGCTTTTATGCACACCGAACATACATCTGTTGTCTGAATTGTAACGCGTATAACAAACCGGAATTCTGGGATGCACTTACACTGATTTTAAATGAAAAGAAACTGCAGAAAATATAATACATTGCAAAATTATTGTACATCCATTATAATTTCAAATTTCTGATTTCATATTCAAAAGACGAGTAGGCAAGGAGAACCTTGGCAACTATTAAATTGGCAGATTAATCAACATCTGGTGGGTAGCTAATGATACCGTACTGCACTTCATCAAAAAATATGATAACTATGCGACGTGATAATAAAAATACCACACGCGATTCTATGGCATCCCATTAACTGCTCCTTTATGTGAACCCAACTGGCATTGTAAATCAAGGAATCAAACTATATGAAGACAGAAGAGAAGGATGTCGATACAGATCAGGCTGCCCACCAATGTTATCTACATTATCAAAGCTGCAGAGAGAAGACTTACAGGTTCTGGCAGGCGCCCAGCATGCATACGCAGAAGAAACAAGGCTTGGCAGAAGCAGAGACCTTAGAGTACCCACCACCAACAATTTTGGATGTCATCCATGTAAACAATCTACTGAAATAATATGAAAATAGCGAAACCAAAAAGACGTAAATATTTCACTGTGTTAGAATTTTGAGATTACAAGGACTTTGCGGGCGAGGGAAGAAATATCGTGGTTCACAATTATCTTTATTTAGTAGAAAAGACCAACCAGCTCACAAACAGTGCACAGACTTTACATTATAAACATCGTACAGCAACTCTAAACTCTTTATTCAACAAGTGCATTAGTTTGTGGGTACATATGGGTGACTGAATATTTACAAGATAATGTGACATTTACGCAAAAATGAAAATCTATAACTATAGCTGTTTGCACATGATTTCGCTGCTGAATAGCAGTTGTGAAAGTTATGGTAAAACCGGTTTTTCAAGTTCGCCCTAAATGCTTCGGTCGTACACATATTTACGATCCAAGTTTTATAGAGATCAAAGCAAATACTGGTAATCGATGTATTTCATACAAAATACTATATCCCTAACATTTTGTTATAGGATTCTCTAATAAAAATTTGCAAACATTAACCAGTCTGTGTACAGAATAGATTTCATGTTTAAACTGCACTCAGGTTTGATGGAAATGTCTAACAAAATACAAGCAATCTCACAATTACTGTATAAAAATGATATAATAAAAAAGTAATGAGCTTCAGTGTCAAACATCTATTCAAAAATCATTATCATCACAAGTCTTTACTCCTCTGAATGTTTGAAACTCATTATATTTCAATGACAATCATGATTTTGACGTCTACACAGGTACAAAACACAAACACACTGACATATTAAAGTTACAGCTTTAAATCAGTCTTAATTAAGTTAAACGCTATTACTGCATACATACAGACACAAAATGCACACACACACACACACACGCGCACACACACACACGCACACACACACACACACACACACACGCACACGCACACACAATATATAATATATATATATATTATATATATATATATATATATATATATATATATATATTCTAACATCTTGATGAACATTTGTAACTTTTCTCACTTGCATTACCATACACGTTACCATACATGTGTATATATGTATCTATATATCTGTGTGTGTGTGTGTGTGTGTGTGTGTGTGTGTGTGTGTGTGTGTGTGTGTGTGTGTGTGTGTGTGTGTGTGTGTGTGTGTGTGTGTGTGTGTGTGTGTGTGCATAAAACATACACATGTGTGTGTGTGTGTGTGTGTGTGTGTGTGTGTGTGTGTGTGTGTGTGTGTGTGTGTGTGTGTGTGTGTGTGTGTGTGTGTGTGTGTGTGTGTGTGTGCATAAACATACACATGTGTGTGTGTGTGTGTGTGTGAAACATACACACGTGTGTGGTGTGTGTTTACTTGTGTGTGTGTGTGTGTGTGTGTGTGTGTGTGTTGTGTGTGTGTGTGTGTGTGTGTGTGTGTGTGTGTGTGTGTGTGTGTGTGTGTGTGTGTGTGTGTGTGTGTAATCTCGCCATCATCCATTCATACAATTTTTTATCAATATATCACAAAATAAATAAAACACAAAAGAAGCAATGGCACCGGGAACCTACAGGCGCTTTCTACCCTTAGTTCGATAAGCAAATAACAGCCAGATTTATTTTCTTTCGGAAAAATCTTCAACACAGTCCTTGTAGCGAACAAAAGACATCGGAGAATTTTTTTTTTCCATCGCTTATATTCCTGTACAGAGTCGTGGCTTGGTTCTAAATTAAAGTTTGAGAACCTGTCCCGGGTGAACAAGTGAAGCGTTTAGAATAAGAAATCTGATGCAAGAGTTGTCTGTGGTACTTCGTAACACTTTTACGAAACACTCTTTTAGTTATATACTAAGTGAAACCACTGATACTTCATTGAGAGTGTCCTCGGGCCCTGCTGCCTTGATCGTTACCATTATCACTCAAACATGGGATGCAACAAATAGCATTTCCTCTCGCCTAAAGCTGGTTCTCGGAAAGCAACTTGGCTCAATCCGATTTTCACACTACCTCGAGGCATGTGAGACACGGCACTCTGGCATCTAAACAATATGCATGAATATATGAACACAAAATTGATAACCGAAGGCAATAAGCACATTAAGCATCATCACAGGAATCATCCCCAATATTGGAAAGGCTCTCGTCGGCGACAGAACCATATTTTGTTCCGCAAGTACTTACGCATTTGCCTTTCCTGTTTTTAAGCAGCTGCAACTATCGTGACCAGCGCTGTGATGCCCGAGAACTCTTCAGCCCATTACCAGATATCATGGGGAATGGAAAAGATTAGACAGAGGCATTCGCTCAGCCCTGAGGCGCTGATAACAGCCTTAGTCAGGACTTTCGTGCACGTTTGAAATCTGAATGATGCAGAGCTTTACTTTTTGACCAACACAAAAATGTTTCGTTTCAGCTGATTCATGTTTTAGAGGCATCACTGCATTGTGTCACGGATGAATGTCTCGATAATAAATCGTAATCTTAAAATTTACCGCGAATGCAGCAATAATGTCAATTAATTTAATATCTTAAGTATAAATGCCCTGGGTCTTTCTCCTGTATCTATTACTGGGACATCGACTACGGATGACTTTTTAGTGGGAGTAAGCCCTTTTTAATGGCTCTTCTGCAATACGAGTACCATTTAAACTCGCTTGGGACACAATTCTTCACTTGAAAATATCTACAGAACACTAGCATCGTGCTAGATAGTCAAGGATCTAGAAACTTTTTAAGTATATTTGGCAATTGGATTTCAGGGAGCGTGGCTTCCGTCTTTGTACGTGGGCTTTGAGGAACTACTCTGTGCATGAATATACAGTGTGTGTGTGTGTGTGTTGTGCTTTCTGCACTACCTATACTGCGAAGTACGTTGGTTATTATCTGTCAAGGTAACGCTGACTTCTGCATTAGAC